TGGAAGACTTAACATTGTTAAAATGGCAATACTCCTCAAATTGATCGACAGATTAAACATAAGCTGTATCAAAATCCCAGCTGCCTTCTTTTCAGAAATTGGCAAATTGATACTAAAGTTCATAGAAAAATATGAGACCCAGAAGAGCCAAAACAATCTTGAAAAAGAAGAATAAACAATTGAATAAACACTTCTTGATTTCAAAACTTACAACAAAGCTATAGTAATCAAGGTAGTGTGGTACTGGCATAAGGATAGACATATAAATCAATGGCATATATAAATAACTCTTAAAACTCAATAATAAAACAAAGTTTATCTAAAAACTTTCAACAGATGCTTTACCAAAGAAGATATATGAACAGCCAATAATTACATGAAATAATTCTCCACATCACTAGTAATTATGGAAATACAAATTTAAAAATCCAGTGAGGTACCACTACATACCACTAAAATGGCTCAACTAAAAAACAAACAAACAAAAACCTAACACCCCCCTCCGCTCCCGCCCCCCCCCCACACACACACAAAACAGACAATACCAAGTATGAGCTAGGATATGGAGCAACCAGAACTCTCATTCATTAATGGTAGCAATGCAAAATGGTATTACCAATTTTAAAAAATAGCTTGGCAGTTTCTTATAAAATTAGATACATACTTACCATAAGTCCAGAAATACATCCATGAATGTCCATACAGCTTTATCCATAAGAGCCCAAAGCTGGAAATAACCCAAATGTCCATCAATGGGTAAATTGATAAGCAAACATTGGCATATCCATATCATGCAATATTGTTACAATAATAAAAAGGAATAAAGTATTAGTCATGATAATCTGAATGAATCTCAAATGCATTATGCTAAGTGAAATAATCCAAACTAAAAAACCTACATACTGTATGAAATTAAATAAAATTCCAGAAAAGGCAAATTAATTGCCAGAGTCTGCAGTGGGAAGAGTGAATGCAAAAGGGCACAAGGAAATTTGGGGGGTGAATAAAAGTCCATATCTTGATTGGGGGGGTGGTTATATCACTGAATATATACATTTCTAAAGAAATCATTTAACTACAATTAAAATAGGTGAATTTTATACTATGTAAATTACACCTCAATAAAGCTGATCTTTCAAAATTATGAACATCAGCTCTGGTCAGGTAGCTCAGTTGGTTAGAGTGTAGTTCCGTCATGCCAAGGTTGCAGTTCAATCCCCAGTTAGGGCCCTTCATCCCTTTGACTCTCTGATTTAATCCAACCCACTAATCTAGTCTTTCAGAGATCCCCAGTCAGGGCACATACAAGCACCAACCAATGAATGCATAAAAAATGGAACAACAAGTCACTCTCTCCCTCCATCTCTAAAAATCAATCAATAAAAATTATGAGTATCATTAATTCCCACTTTGATATTGTTCTGAAGGGAAGGCATAGGTGCCAGGAGAACATTTAATATAGAATCCTGAAACCTCAGAAGGCTTTCCTGAGGAAGTGAAATCGGAGTGAGGTACTAAGGAGGCCCATACATGAGCAGGTGAAGAAGGGAGGCATGGGGCAAAGGCCCTGAGGCTTGAATCCTCTCCATCACAGCCTTTCTGATAGAAACCCCAGTTCTGCTTGCCGAACCTTCACAACAGTGGGTAGTTCACTGCTGCAATTATTGTAATTAATAATCATGACCGCTATTCATTGAGGACTTGTTATGTCTTTAACTTCATACCAGACAATTATTTCTCATAACATTTACTCTTAAAAAATTGTACCCACAAGGTAGATTCAATTAGTATTCCTCTTTTATGGATAATAACGTCAAGGTTTAGGGAAATGCAGTACTTTGTCCATGTTCACACAGGTAGCAAGTAGCAGAGACAGAATGCAAACTTGGGTTTTTGAAACTCCAGCTGAAGTTCCTAGACACTATGCGACTTCAGTTAGACACATCACTGGCTCTCCCCTCCAGGCCAAACATCACTACCTTTCCCAACTCTTCTTCATATAACATAGTCTCAACCCCTTCACTGCCCAATCTGTAAACACACTAGTTTGAACACCTACTATAAGTCAGATGGGTCCCTCTTGAAATGCCATGTAATCTCTGCTCTCCTGATATTTCTAGTCTGGAGATGAACATTGATACAATAACCAGAGGTAAATGAATACTTTTTAAGGTTTGGTGAAATATGAAGAAAAGATATAGGTAGGGAACTATGACAGATAGAACTGGGACATCTAACCTAGCCTGGGCATCTGGAGGGCTTCCCTGAAGTGAAGTTTGAATTGAGATGTGAAGGACCAGGGATTATTTGGTTGAAGAGTGAGGTTTAAGATATAACCTTAAGTTATAAGGTCCTATAAGTCAGGCTGATGTAGTTCAGTGTTTGAGCATCGACCCATGAACCAGGAAGTCACAGTTCGATTCCCCATCAGGGCACATGCCCAGACTGGGGATGCAGGAGATAGCCGATCAATGAATCTCTCTCATTGACGTTTCTCTCTCTCTCTCTCTCTCTCTCTCTCTCTCTTTCTTCCTATATGAAGTCAATAAAAAATATATTTTTAAAAATTGCCAGAGGTAGGCTAAAATTTTGGTTCTGAGCTGCCTAATGGCCTGAGCAAGGAGGGAAAAGGGCAGTCATGAGCTTTATGGTGTTCAGAAGATAAACCACCAACAATTCAGATGCATACAGCCTTTCAGGGTATTGAGATGGGGCATTTTTCCCAGTCCTCACACAAAAGAAACCATGGTACACAGGGCTCAGGCCAGCACCTGGATGTGTGGCTGCTCATACATTGCTTACCCGTTAGGCCCAGTTCAGGAGCAAGGGTGGACCTGAGAGGGAAACTATGGAGGGGAACTAATATCTCTATTCTCCCGGACACATCTCTACCTGAAAGGTTGCTAGCGGCCAAGAGAGGTGTTTCTTCCAAACTGGGGATGAAGAAAACTGGGAAAACACCAACTTAAATTCCCCATCCAGCACTGGAGGCCAGTGTAAAGTTGCTGTTGGCCAAAATGGAGCTGTAATTAACAGGGAGGCTGTGAAGGGCATGAGAGCTACAGAGCCATCTCCAGCTGTGGGGCTTCGCTTGGCTTACCCTCCAATGACTCACTGGCTTATGAGTAATCCTCCCAGGCCTGATTTAGAGGACTTACTCACCCTTCAGAGGAAGACTCTAATGCAATAAAGCAAATGTCGGCAAGTGGGATGTGGCGTAGCGCATCACCCCAGCCTGCACCCAGCTTCCCACTCCCTGGCTCTCCCAGCCTGAGGCCCCTGCCGCCACTCAGCACCTGGAACCGTACCGAACAATGGGCAGGCTTCCCGGACAGGTTCCAAGGCTGAGCACAGGCTCAGAGATAGGAAAACGAGGCCGGACCTCAGGCATCAGCTAGACCAAGCCTTGGAGAAGTTTGGTCCGGAGAGGCTGGGGATGAGCTCCAATGCCCTAGAGTTAGGGGTGAGTGAGGGCTGGAATCCAGGACTTCCGCCTCCCTGTCTAGTGTTCTTCAGCCCCCTTTCCTCCCATGGAAGCCCTGCATGGACTATGCAGATGAAATACAGTCCGAGTGGCATTCTTACCTGAGGACTTTCCAAGGAAACTGGGAAGGAAAGACATGTGGAGAGCAAGGCCTCAAGCAAAGCCTTGGAGGTGAGATGCTTAGAAAGAGCTGGGCTACCTGGGCTTGGCCACCATCTTGGTATTCGCCGACATGGTGTCTGTGGGAGAGCGGGAGGCCTTGTTGGGCCTTCCAGAATCTAGGGGTACCAGTTCACTGGGATGGCATAAATTCCAGCCAGTTCCTGGCTCCCTCTTCTCAGGAAACAGGCCCCAAAGAGTTGGCATAGCCAGCTGTGGGAAGACGTTTAATACAAAGGAATACTCAGAAGGCAAGTCAACGCAGCCTTGGGTTTAAACCCACTCCTGAGTAAATTACCTGGAAGAATTAGTTCCAAGGGTAAAAAAGGCGGAAGCAGGCACTTAAGGTGAACCTTCACCTAGTTTGCTTCCCCATTCCTTGGCTATTTTCCCAACCTTTTCCGAGTGTCTGCCACATGAGGCACTGGAAGAAGGCCGACTACAAGCATGGTGTTCTGGTTTGCTGGAATCCAGGGTCTTAAGCTTTAAGGGATTTTTGGGATCATCTAGTTCCGTTTGCTCATGTTATAGATGAAGAATCTGAAGTTCAAGTCAAATTCCTTGCCTGGGCTCATGGAAGTGAGGAGCCCAGAGTGAGTGGACATGCTGATCACCTCACCGTGTGGCATGCACCCAAGGACTTCTCTTGCAAGTGAGCTCTCAAATGGAAAGCATCATATTCTGAATTATGACCACTAGCTTGTGAGTGGATGCACAGGCTCATGTCTACAGCTACAATCCACCACCATCACCTTCGAGTTTCTTTGGAAATCAACCCAGTGAGGCAGGCTCGTTGCCCCCAAAATGTATTTATTCCTCCCTTAACCCAATTCATCAACACAGAGAAGTTTTTCTTTTTACTATTTTTATTTAACACTATAAAAAAACGACGACAATGACGACCAATTACATACTGCTTTTCTTCACATTTGTATGGATTTTAGGAAATTATTGCCTTTTCCCCTGGAGAAATAACCTAGACAAAATATAAAGTAGTACCACACTACGAAATCTACAAATCCTAGAAGTCAACATCTTGAAGACAATCTCCAGGGGTAGGGGGGGGAAAAACAAGTGTCGCAAGAGACGAGACAAGCACATGTAAGGACGGCAAGCTGGGGAAAAAGACCGTGTCAATGACACTGACCCAGACAGTAGGTACGCTTTTCTCCTGGCACCCACGCCACCACCTCAAATGGGTGATTTTTGGTCTATGGTCTAAGGAACTCTCTTTAAAATGACACAAGAGTTGCTTTGAGTAGAGGTGTAACAAGAAAGGTTCAAGTATGAGTACGAGTCATGCCAAAGTCCAAAGTCAGGGAAGAACCCACAGTGAAAAGGCAACTCTCTAGCAGACACTTTCTCCCATGTTGCTGCAGGTGTTTATTGCCTTACGCTTGAAATGAAAAGGCGAACTTTGAGGTGCCAGGACTAGGCAGTCCTGAGAGGGCAGGGGGGTCTGGAAGTACAGTAGTCAGCACAAGCTGTGCTCTCATAATGGCTTGGCCTTCCTTCGGTCCCGAGAACCTACCCCGAGGTCAGTCTGAAGTTCGTTTGCAAGCCTGGGGACCCTTCGCTATCCCACTGGAGCAGCGGGACAGAGGGGGTCTTCAGTATTGCACAGGTATGAAATGTCCACCAGTTTAAAAAGCAAAATCACAGTTGTTCTTGGGGCTGGGCGGGTTCTCCCATCCAGTTTTAGCAGGATGTGGCTGTGGCCATGGCGCTCCTGCTGAGCTCTGAGACCGTCGAGTGGGTGGGCACTGGCGCCAGCACCGAGGTAGGGAATGTGTAGTAGGAACCCTGTACATCAGGGCTCAGTGTCTGCAAATGGGCTCTGAAGGAAGAGCTGGCTGCCTCCCCTTGGCAAGAGGGAACCTGGGGGGTGGGCGTGGAAGGCAGGATCTCAGATTCATACTGCAGGAGCTGGCCCATGAAGCCAAAGTTGGGCGAGACCACACTCCTCCTCTGCTTGATGTAATCGAAGGCATCCTTTAGGCGAAACTGCCTGGTCTTCATGAGGTAAGCCATGCAGATGGTGGGTGAACGGGAGATCCCAGCCTCACAGTGGACCAGGATCTTGCCTCCCTTTTCCCTGACACAGTCTGGAAGGAAAAAAAGACAGTGGTATTGAGTTGGGATTAGAACCCAAAGGCAATGCCAAACACAAGAATTAAACACAGAAGTGACCTAGCTCTCAAACCATCATGACTGTGCAACAGCTGTCGTCCTACATCAGACTTCTGCCAGTCTTTAATCCCCACTGGTGAGGACAGAGCTTCTGGGGCCCCACCAATGTCTTTCCCAATGTAGGACCTTTCCAATCCTTAGAGCTGCTTCCCAGTGCCCTGGGATACTTGCACAGATTCTACCACAGAAGGTTCTAAACCTAGAGTAATCCCTTCCTGAGGATGGCACCTTAACATAGATGGGTTTCAAGAGGGCATTGGAAAAGCCTTGAAATTGCAAGCCAATTTTCATCAGGTATGCACATTTTTTCCTTAGAGAGTCCCAGGTTCAAAGACTGACTTAGAGAAGCAATTCCTGCCTCTCAGGGCCTGAGTGTAATGGTGATGACCTAGCCCCACTCCCACCCCCCCCATCTTGGTAGACGCCTTCCGGCCTCCCAGGCACCCTGTCTGGCTATGCCAGGGCAGGATGCTTGGCTCAGCTCCCAGGGTTCCCACTACCAAACATACAATATATAGTGCAGAGCCACTAATTATAGCCCTGGCCAAGTGACGCTTACTAGATGGATATAGATGGCTTTTCGCAAACTCCATCTTGCACAACAATGGGAGTCATTGCTATAAAGCTACCACCATCAGCTAGAATTCTTTAGCTCAATATGACAAAAGGGAAGGTAGGGTGCCCTCCTCTTCTGTTCCACTCCTGCCCCCAAAAGAGCTACAACTGTTAAATATGGGAATGGGTCAAAGGTTAAACATAAATACACATCAAAGAAAAATAAAAACCACTAAAAATATAGTCTTTCCAAGTCCCTCTCTTGCTGCTAAAAAAACAATTACATCACCGGAAGTTAGATGTACGTGGCACTATGTAAAGCCATGGTATGTAAAAACATTTAAGATTTTGAAGGACAAATAAAAAATCAGCTCTCTCACCCACCTCCCTCCTCAAAATCAAGGAGTTTACAAATGAATCTGCAAGACCTGAAAGATCAAATTTCTGAGGAGTCAAAGAGGAACCCTGGAGTTTCCCCATCTAAGAACACCCCACTGCAGCTTATTAGAGGTGCCCCCAATTCAGTCTCTGACTCAAAAGGAAAAAGGCCTGCAAATTAGTTCAAAGGGGACCCCAAGTCCCTAGCATTACAGGGTCATGACTCTCATTTTCCTTTGCTCCTTTGTTGGCCTCCTTGTAGTCTAGTTTTCAATTGGCACAATACCACATCCAAAAAAAGCAGAAGGCCTTCTGGATCCCACTCTACCCCTCGGGGCTTGTCTTCCCCGTGGCACTCCTGTGGCATTCCCCTTGGAAGGGGTCAGGGCATGGCTCAGCCTCAGTCTCTCCTTCCACGAGCAGGGCAAGGAGACTGGGGACAAGCATCCTGTGCTTTCCTAAGTTGTGGGTGTGTATGTTTGTGTATGCAAACGGACACAATACACACCCAGGATGGGGAGGGAGCCTTCTGAGAAATGGATGGGGGCGGATTTCATGACCTCACTGAGTAGCTATCAGGCCCAGAAGGGCAAGGCATTCCCAGGGGCAGGGGGAACAAGTCAAGGCTTTCCCACCCTGAACCCACCATTGAGGCTGCCTCTCTGAAACTCCAAAGGAACCATCTCAGCCGAGTCGCTCAGGGGACAGGCTTAGCCTTTTGCCTTTGGTCAGTTTCTGGATGGTTTCACATGAAGCAGAAGTCATGTGTGACGAGCAGAGGGGGCCATCATGTGGCTGCGGGGGGCCCTTTAATTGCTACCCACACTAAGTAATGACTGCTGTGCCCGACACCTGCCTTTTCCCCCCCGCCAAGATCCTTTCAAACAAGATACAGGAAAATCACATCTCAGCTGCAATCGCTATGCATGCTCAAGGGAAAGGAGGACCCTGGAACTTAGAAGGCAAGGCCATAAGGTTGGAGAGTGGGGCTTGCAAATCTGAGACAGAAAAAAAGTCAACCCAGCCTCCAAAGAGGAGGAATGGGGGAAAGAGATGTCAAAGGGGAGAACAATTAAGCTACATGGAGGAGCTGGAAACCCAAGGCCCAAGGGAACAGAGGCTACCAGGCCTACACAGCAGAGAAAATGGGTAACTGACTCACAGAATAGAGAAAGGATGCAAAAGATGCCAACTTTTCTGTGCACAAAGCATGGAGCTTGAGTCAAGTGCTACCTTTAATCCAAAATTAGCTGGAAATGCAAAACAAATTGCCCCCCAAAGCTTGTTAAAAACTGTGGAAAGCTGCCAGGGCCCTTGGGGCTTAGTGCGTAAGTAGTGCTCTCTCAATCCTTCTGTTTGCATTTAAAAATATCCCAACCTGCGTAGAAGGCACCGTGAGGATGACTCTTTCTCGCCCCTGCTTCCCTTGTGTGGAGATTTCGCACGGACACGCTGTGCTTCCCACCCAGCCAGAAACCGTAACGAGGGCGGCAGCTGAATACTGCCATAAAATTATATTAAGTTATCGTGCAGATTAAAGCTCCTATGAATAGCAACTCAAATCTTCCCCTCTGCCTTTTGGGTGGCTGTCTCTCGTCTTGGCTCCAACTCTCGATGACTGCATATAGAAGAGACTTTTCTTCTCTGTGATGGTAGCTGCCATCAGTCCATCAAAATCCAAGACCTTATGTCCCTACAAGGCGCCCAGAACAGCAGAGGGGAATGGCTGAACCTACCAATGAAGTCTATTGCTTCTTGAAAGTGGGAGCTAATGTCAGCCGTGTGGCTGTCCTCCACGGGGATCCATTTGTAGTGTAGGTGGCTCATGCAGGCCTCGGAGGTCCGCCGCGAGACATTCAGCAGGGCCGTGATGTGCAGGTTGGCGAGGAACTCGCACTTGGATGCATGGTAGGCACTTCCAAGGTAGAGGAACGGAAGGATTTCAACTGGGCCGCCCTGGAAGCAGGGGCAAAGGACAAGCAGGAAATATTGGATTAGCCTGCTCACCTGGGAGAGGAAACAAAACAACCCTGACCTATTTGTGTTAAGGTGGGAGGTTCCCTTCCCGGTTTCCAGGTAGAGAGAGTTCAGAGCCAAGGCCGTTCAACCAAGAGTGTGGGTGAAGCCTCCATCCTGGCAGACGCTCTAACCCTCCATTACTGCTGGCGACTCAGTGATGGCAAAGCCTACATGGTGAAGATTTTCATTTTCTTACACATAGTGAGGAAGTAGGAAGTGCCAGCAGCCTTCCTTTGCTAATGAGGATGAGAAGCAGTGGGTGTGATGGGGGGGATGGAGCTATGTGTGTTGAAGTTCTAGCAGACCTGAGAGCACCAGCGCAAGCCCTTCAACTTGGAGAGCAGCCTTGGTTTCTTTCTAGATAAAATGGAAAAGGGTTCAATAGGTGAGCTTCCCCCCCCCCCGCCCACCCCGCCCCTTACAGTCCTGACGTTTTGTATAGTGTATTTCATTAAACCCAGGACACTTTTAATTTTTTTTCCAATTAAATTTATTGGGGTGACATTGGCTCACAGGATCATACAGGTTTCAGGTGCACATTTCTATGTTACAAGATCTGTATATTGCACTGTGTGCTCACCACCCAAATCATCTTCTGCCCCCTTCACCACTACCACCACCAGCACCCGCTAGGTCCAGAGATGTTAAAATGCGCTCCCTGGAGCTCTAAAAAGTTGCTTCTTAGAAGTGAAAATAAGTCACTATCTACCCAGAATCCTCAGACAAAGAAAAGCTTTTAGGCCATGAGCAGAGGGGCTTCCCCCACCTCTGATCATCTTCATGTGGAGCAGCAGGTTTTGTTAAGAGATGCTTATATCCTCTTTCTTTTGGGGGACCACCCACATATCAGGTTTCTAGTTAAGGAGAACTCCACTGGAACCAGAGATCACCTAACCTACCCCCCCCCAACCCTCCCCACTCCCCACCCCTGAGGCAAAGCTAAAAAGAGCTCATAGCTGGTCAGACCCTGGCAGTCTTAACATTTCCAGGTCTCCCATCTCCTTGCTTCCTTTTGTTGCTGTTGGCAACTGCTGGCTCAGGAGCATCCCACCCTGGTCCCTGGGTTCCACTGCCCTAGACAAGGGCTCTAGGGCCCATTCTTGCACCCATCCACAGCTGGGAGGGACAAGGCTCTGTGCTGAATATGTAAGTTTAGGGGCCAGCTTCCTGGGTGCATAAATAAATACCCTCAGTGTATAAACAAACAAACAAAAGTTAGCGGTAGCTGGAACAATGGGATTCCCTGGAGACTCAGAGGGAAACAATGGGCTGGAGGGACAGTGGCTGTCTTTGGGAGCCTTTTCCACATTATCCATCCGCTTCCTGTGTTTCCATTTCCTGTGCTGGAACAAGAGCAGAATGGAAACTCTGCCAGACCCGTACTCGGAAAGGGAGCACGGGACGAGGGCCAGCAGCAGGCAATGCTCACACTCCCCTGCATGTGGTATTTGCCTTCTCTTTCCTGGGAAGTCAAGTGTTCAGGCAAAGACCAGTTTGGCCACTTGGAAGAAAGTTCTAGAGCAGTGATTTTCAACTGGTGTGGCACAAGCATTTTTAAAACATGCCATACCTGTCTATTTAGTCAGGGGCACTGACCTGTCTTCCCTTAGATTGTCACATAAAAATTGACAACAGCCAACACAATAGCCGTCTGGTGTGCACGCCCTGTCTTGAACCATAACTATATAGGCCATATTGCATCATATTGGTCACATCGAATAATAAGGTTGCATCTGACTGGTTAATTCTTGGTACCAGAAATCCTTATAAAGCACCTGATTTTTTAAAAAGTCACTTTGGAGGGGAAAAAAAAAGTAGGTAATTACCATTACACTATTATTATTATTTTGTAAATCAATCAAAATTATACCTACGTTTTTTTGTCAGATCAGCAAAAAATATGTTTTTGGTGTGCCACAGAATTTTATTAATTTATTTAATGCCATGAGATGAAAAAGGTTGAAAATCATTGTTACAGAAGATTTTGCAAAAGGTATTAATAGTAACAATGACTATTTTTATTAGGACTTATTGTGGCTGCCCTCTGGGCTTAACACTTTAGTTAGATGTACCTATAATCTCACCTTAGTGCCTGGAAAACGCTGACAACCAGGCACGGAATCCTATCCAATTGCATATGGAGCTTAGCCCAACACCCCTGAAACTGTTTTTCTTTTCTTTTCTGAATCTTGTTTAGAGTCAAGAGGAAGAGGCCAAGGGCCTACAGAAACCCCAAAGGTTAACAGGGCCTCGCCCGGCTTCTAGGAAGCAGTGCTAGGGGGTTCCCCAGAGGAACCTGGAGGCACAGCAGGGCCTCCCCAGTCATCGGTGGGCCAAAGGTCTGTGGCTCTTTTACAACATCCTGCAAGTTCTTGTTTCTCTTTCATTTTCGGAGAAACAAGGATAAAAAAAACAACCCAAACAACAAAACAAAAATAGAAATCTAGCTAAGCCGGATGCCCGTGGCTTGTAAGCTGAGGGTTCATCCCAGAGTGTATTTTGATAAAGGAAAACAAACAAAATAAAACCCTGGCACCACACCAAGCTAATAGGCTTCCTGACCAAGGATCCCATCCAAGGAAAGGTCACCTGGCTTTACTTGGAATTTATCCCCAGGGCAGAGTTCTGCTCATGGCAGGCAGCTGACAGGTTAGGCGGCATTTGAAATCTTCCTTTTTATGATTTTGGATATGTTCTTAATTGGGGGGGAATTTTGAAAAGACCCTCCCACCAAATCAGAAGGACCCTTTTCCAGAAGATGTGTGGGAAACAGAACAGGGCCCTGAAAAGAACCAGAAAGGGGAGTTAAGAGAAGGGGGAGAAGGAGGTTCTGGGTCTAGTGCTGCCATGGACCCAGCTGCAGGATTTTGGCAAATCCATTACACCTCACCAGCCATGAAAGTTTCTCCCGCTGTAAAATTGGGAAGGTGGGTTTTGATCTCTGGTTTCTGCCAGATTTAGGTCCTTGCCTCCCTTTTCCTCATCCTCCTCCTTTCTACTTTATGCTTCCTTTATTGAGTTGTCACCAAGTCCAATTTTTGAAGGAAAAAGAAAGCCCACACATTTATAGAAACACGCAGTCCTCTAGTATGACTTGATCTCCTCTGGTTCCAGAATTTATGGAATTATAAGCATCAGAAACCCTTAGGTGAGCCTGCTTGCTTAGCCATCCAAACTGTAGTTTCACTACAACCCTCCTTCTACTTCCCTCCACTCCCACCTCATTCAGTTAAAATACCAGTAAGACACACCTTGACAGGTACTAACTAACTGGGCTGGTGTGCAGAAACTGCAGAGCATGAACAATTACAAAGAACAACAACACAGGAAGCCTGAAAGTCAGCTCTGAAACATCTTCAGGGAAACCTAAGCCAGTATTTGGAAGCTTCTCTGCACCTCCCAGGCCAACTAATAACAATACATCGTTCACTTCCTCTTTTCTCCAGAAACTGTCAAGCATCCTGTGGCTCGTTTGCTCTTGTCAGCTTGTTTGCTGGAAGGAAGCCCGTTTACTCTTGGATGGAAACTCAAGTTGGCAAGCAACAGAGGCTCTCTAAAGCGAGAGGGCTCTGCCAAAACCCTGATCCGCAAAACAAGCAACCAGGGCCGCTGAGCAGGGAGAGGAAGAAGAGTCAGGGTGCCGAGGAAGGAACGGGAGCCAGGAGCCGCGACAGCACTTCCACTCCACATACCTGGTCATGAGCTGGCCTGTAGCTGATGCTGAGCACTGGTTTCCCACACTGGCTGATGAGGGCTCTCTCGGTCTCAATCTTCTCTTGGGAGATGGGTTCTACGTCCACGCAACAATCAGGATATTCCGAGTAGAAAGTCTCATATCCCCCTACAAGAAAAAACAAAACAAACAGATATAAGCATTGATTTCTCGGACTGTCAGAAAATGCCCACAACTAATCAATACCCCAAGTGTGGAACAGTCAAAAATATTAGGCTGCCCTAGCTGGTTTGGCTCAGTGGATAAGATGTTGGCCTACGGACCAAAGGGTCTCGGGTTAGATTCCGGTCAAGGGCACGTACCTCGGTTGTAGGCTCCTCTCTGGCCCAGGCCCTTGTTGGGGGTACGTGCAGGAGGCAACCAACCGATGTGTTTCTCCCACATCGATGTTTCTCTCTGTCTTTCCCTCTCACTTCCACTCTCCCTAAAAATCAATGGAAAAATATCCTTGGATGAGGATTAATTTTAAAAAAAAGGCTAATATAGATTTTGGCCACATAAAAAAATGAGCCAAACCAACTAATAGTTTTATAGAATATAAATGGGGTCTACACACACACAATTCTAAAAAGCTATAGGTCAGAGAGGCAATGATTAACTTTTTGTGTCTATCAGAAGCAGCTTAAACTGTAAAAGGAAATATATCTGACATCTGGAAAATATTAACTAAATCCCTCCAGAAAACCAAAGCTATTTTCTCTCTTGTTTATCTAAAATGCAGGTGTGATTATGCAGAATTTCATTAATTTTCAAGAAAGAGACTCCAAAACCGGTCTGTTTCTTCCCTAACTCATCAGCTCTAAACTGAATTATAGAGGAAACCCCCTCCATTCATAAGGGAATAGGGGCTAATACGAGGTTTAAACTCGGGGCAATAAAACAGCCCTGGCCTTTCTCACTCCTAAGGTGCTAAGAACACTGCTGACAATTCTCTCCATAGATCCAATTTAGAGTAATCAATCTAGGTTATTACCTTCCCAACCAAACTGCAGGAATGAGGCCTTCTGAACTTAAATCTCAGCCCCCATAAATCAAAACTGTCCCCTGGATTAACACCTACCCTCTCTTTATATTTCCTTATTACCCTTCCCTCCTGAACTTTCTGTTCCCTGCATGCCCTCAAACCGCTGTACTGACAGGTACGATTCTGTAAACATTCTTAATATCACCTTTAAACTTCTCCAAATGGGTTGCTTAAGGTAAAAAAGTATCTCTAACCAAGTCACAGAAATACGAGTGTATACATACAGATAAGGCTTTTCAGGCCCAGTACACTCAGTGGGGAAGAACCCAGTACAACCTGGCCCCTGGAAGTCTCAGAATGCCGGGGGCTGGTGGGTGAGCAGGCCGGCCTTGCTTGGGGAAGCACTTTGCTTCCAATCCAGAAGGACCTAAGGCAATTCCTAGAGCCTCCAAAAACCGGCTTCTGCCATCTTCTGGCCCAGAGAATTCACTTGGGGGTCAAGTCATCAATTAAAACTATGCATCCTGAGGCCATGTATTTTCCAGAAGCCTCCCTTTTTCTTCTGTCTTTCCCTGTTGTGAGAGCCCCGCAGTGGAGCACGTGGTGGCTTTTTAAAACCCCCGCGGTAGACGAATGGTTAATGGATTACATGGCAGTCTCCAGCTCCCTCCCAGAAGCCAAAGCCAATTCCTTGAATGAGTCATCTTGCCATTACTGCTTCCTCTCAGCTTGCTGGAACTGCCCTGGCCCCCTCCAACAAATCGCCCGTTGGGCCGCCCCGATGAGCTTCTGGTCCTCCACAATGACCATGTTCCTGGTCATGAAGACAGGAGGCCATGTGGGAGGGGGACGGAGGCAGGTATTCCTGGCATAGTGTACCCCTCCCCGCAACCCTAGCCCCTGGCCCCCTTCTTTCCCGGGGGCAGAGAGAAGCCAGACTTACACTGACACAGAGCTTCCTTGGAAGAGGAAGTGAGTAAATCACTTCCTGTGCCTGTGCCTCAACATTTTGGGTTCCAGGAGACAAACTGAGTGATCAGGGACGGGAATCTGGATTAAGAGTGGCCCAGGCCCTCCCAAACTTCAGGACGAGGCTTGGGAAAGAGAAGCCTTCAGGCCACCCCATCTCTGGGCTTTAAATAGAGCACTTAAGAGGTGGCTGCCAGGAGGACCGAAAGGAGGTGCAAGGAGGTGCGGGTGTAGGCTGGGTCCTGTCTGCCAGTTGACAAAATAAGACAGGCAGACAATGAGTCTCAGTGTCACTGGGGGACAGATAAACAGGGCCCTGCCTCCTCAAGCTGGGGTCAGGAGGAGTCCTCCAGATTAGACGGTCTCTGTCTTTCACCCACTCCCATCAGAGGCGGGGAGAGACAGAACATTCCTCTCTGCTGCCTCACTTGAGAGCCTTGGCAATTCTTTTGGCTGCTTCAACTCTCTTCAGAGTGATTCTGTGTTCTATCACCATCACACTGCCAGGGGAGCGGAGCCAAGTGCATGGACACTCTATATAAATATGCACCGACAAGGCCATTTGGTCACCAACTCATGACTGATTGTGGGGTTTTTTTAGGGGTTGGGGGGAGATGAAGGGATGCCAAAGGCACTGTCCCCCCGAGATCTGAGATGCCACTGGATTAAACCTGAACTCTTAGATGGACATGAGTTAGGTAAGGAAATAAAAATTTTCTTCAGCAACAACTTAAGCTTTAGTAGTGTTATAAGGATCAAGCGATTTTTACTGAAATTTAAAATGGGCATAACTTTTGACCTCGCAAATCTCCAAATGTACTGATAGCGCACCTGCAGAAGCATTTGGATAAAAGTATACTTACTCTACTACACTGTTTCAAATAATGAGGCTAGCAGCAACCTATTGGCTATCACCAAGGGACTGGTTAAAAAAGTGAACCAGACAGGAATGCTCTGATACAAACTAATCTCCCGAGATCTAGTTGTGTGAAAGAGGGAAGGACAGGAAATATACAGTCATTATATTTTAAAAAAGAAACTGGTGCAAAATTAACTTTAAAGATGAACAAGTAATAGTTGATGGTTGTCTCTGGGAGTAGAACTGGGTTCTAAGGGTGTCAGAAGACCCATTGTTCATTGCACAGCCTTTGTGCTGTTCAAAGTTTTACTTATGTATGTTACATTCATTAAAAACATTTTTAAACGTTCATTTTCTTGAGATGTAAGTCACAGAGCTGCCTACCTCCTGTGGCCACAACCCCTAAACTGTCAGCATTGCCCTCTTGGAGAGGGACAGGGGGCAGAGATGGGACCAGGAGGGGTTTCCTGGAACCTCTCTTTCATGCTAATGGAAGGTGGAAGCTTTTCCTGTAGTCACTGCTAAGAACAAAAGACAAAAACCACATCAGGAAGAGAAATCAGGAGCCATGTGTGAAACCTTTGCAATCTTGGAGGGCTTCCCTCCATCAGGGAGGGGTGTGTGTGGGTGGGGCTGAAGCTGGCTGGAAAAGGAAGATTATCATCTGCCTTTGCCATCTCCCTGGGAACCAACAGGGGACGGTCTGCCAGAGGTGCCAACAGAGGTGGGAGCTGTCCGGCCTCAGGAATCTCCTGGCCTGGAGGTGTGTGAAATCCCCCAAATTGCAAGGTTTTAAAGCCAGGCGCTCACTCTCAGCTCTCCGCACGTGAGTTCTGAACCACATCACGGTTACATCTCAAGGTCTAGGCATCAGGGTTGACAGGGCTCCCACACGTTTGAGGTTACAAAGGACTCAAATACAAGGAATGAGGGAGCGGTCTTAGGAAATAAACCAGAAATCGATGCTCTGGCGGTTAGCGCATCACCCACCCACCACCGAAAAGTCAAAGTCCTCTCCGCAGCAGGTGCAACGGGCAGACCGGTGCCACCGCTTCTGGGGTCTCAAACCAAAGGCAACAGAATCCCCTCCACCGCCACCCTGCGGCACCCCTCCCAGCTCCTGGCTCTCCAGCCACCTCCGCTTGGCTCAGGACCCAGGAGGATCCCAGGCCGGGGAGGCAGAGGGTAAAAAACAGTGGGAAGGCTGTTAACTCCAAATTAAACTAGAGAAAGGTAAGGGGGTGGGAAGGAAAGGGGAAGGCCGGAGGAAAACAATAAAAAGCAATAAAATGAAAAGGAAAGGAAGGGGAGGGACTCGCCGGGGTCAAAAAGGCAAGAGGGGTCGGTGAAGACTCAGCCTCAAGTATGTTAATTGTCCAGGCAGGAGGATCCCGCGGCGCCACGCTCCTTGGGGGGAGGAGGGGGGGTCGCGACCTGCGGATTCCGTCGGATCCGTCTATCAGGAAGGCTCAGCGCCCTGGCCCCAGCGGGACCGGCAGCGCCCGCACCCGGGCCGCCAGCCCCCAAACTGCCAAGCAGCAGCGCCCCCAGCTGCCCAGCCACCTCGCCCACCCAAGGCGGCCAAGCGGTCGGGCGCTTTCGAGGAACGCGGGTGGGAAGGGGAGCGCAGCGCCAACCCGGGCAGTGCCCACTCCGGCGCGCGTGGAGCCCAGTGTGCAGACTCGGGCAAATGGA